CATCTAAGAGGCCTCTTCTGACTTCAGGGTCTTCACAATCCCTAGAGATGGCCAAATCCCTGAGCACCCGGTCTGAATTCCAGGCACAGAGACACTCTGGCCAGCTCAGCTCGTCATCCAGAGTGCAGGCACAGGGCTGTACTTGCTGTGGGATAGCTGGGATGGCCAGGCGTACACACAGCCGCCTGCAAGAGGACTGGGGCTCTGCCGTGCAGGAGGAAGAGAAGGAAGGCAAGGCTGCAGCCAGCAGTCTATGCTAGACGCAGTGCTCATGGAAGAAATGGACCATGTGGCCAACGAACACTCCTGGAGCAACAGGCTGGCTGTGCAGAGAAGCAGCTGTCATATACCATCCACAAAGCACATGCCAGGCCAGTTAAGGACCTGAGTGTGCAGAGCAGTACCTGGCAGTGTTTCTGGTCTCAAGCAGGGTTCTTCAATACGGCAAACCCAAATTATCAAGAAAAGTGAATAAATTTGACTAAAATTTCAAGAATTATTTACCTTAACCCACATATTTGGCAAAGGAAAACCATATAGTGGAAAGAGATTTCTGATGACTTACGTGACCAACAAAGGATAGACTTGGTTACAGGCTGATTCCTGCACCTGCATAGCTCAAAGCCATCCATTTGGAGGATCCTTGCTGGGGCATAGGGATGTTCCATGTCTTGACAAAGGGGATTTCACCCTCATAAATGCAGAAGTCAGGGCTCATGGACCTGAACCTTTAATATCCAAGCCTTTTAGTGTATAGTAATTAGACTTTACCTCAAGGAAGAAACAAAGACAAGCTGATAGAACCTAGAACAAGGGATGTTCTTAGAAGAGACAGTATGGGCGGGCCAAGAAATAGCAAATGGCCAGAAAAGTTGCCCAGAAAGAGCCCTGGTGGCCAGAATGATGCTGGTTGGCTGCAGCTCTTTCCCTGCTCTGGGAGAGTGGAGAATGGGGAGCAGCCACCTCAGAGGGCCAGGTAGATGGGGCTGAGGGGCTGAACCGTTTCTCTTACACAGGGCACAGTGGCAGACAGAGGGCCCAGGGCCATGGTAGGCTGGGGGTGGGGTGGGAGGCACAGCTCTGCAACTTGAGGTCACCAGGGTATCCGTCCCACTGGCGGGCAGTTTGGCAGTGAACGCAGCCCCAGAGGGTTGTCTGCAAGACCATAGGGCAGGATGCTCCCCTGGGTTTGGCCACCTCACAGTGGTTATGTTGGCACAGGAGCCGTGGGAAGGAACGAGTCAGTTCTGATGACCTTGGCCTGTGTCCTCAACTGCACAGAGCTGTGGGAACAAACAAGACCATCCAGAAGAGGACCAGCAGCCTGTCTGTCCTGTCTATTCAGAGCTGCTGTGGCAGGGAGGCGGGACCACTGTAGGCACAGGAACGGGATGGTTCTATTGTAGGGAAAAGGGGAGGCTGTGGGTATGTTCTGATGGAGGTACAGGGAAGCCAAGGTGGGCTCTGCAGAAGGTAGCCTCCTGTGCAGCTGTTCGAAGAACACAGGGACATCTCTGGCTGGTCCTGGATTGGAAGCTGGAAGGGGTGGGCATGGGGCAACCACTAGGAAGCTGCACTCCTTCCTCAAAGCCTGGCCCACTGGGCCGAGTGCTGTGGAGGTTGTAGTTTGGGTCAGAGTAGTTCTGCCCTGTGTGGTCTGGCCGACGTCTGTCTGCAGCTTAGACTCTCAGGCCAGGCCAGACCCTTTACTGGATCAGGGGACAGATCAGATGGGAGCACTCTGGAGTCTGTTGCTAAAGAAATGGTGTGAGGAAAACGAAAGAGGAAGAAGGCCAGGCACAGATGCCTAGACCCGGGTCAGTGAGCCCGAGGCCGTGGGACACCTGCAGGTTCCTCGGGTGCCAGCCAGACACACTTCACACTGTGAGTGGGACCCTCCCATGGGGTCCACAGGACAGGTGGCTGTGGGCATGTAGTGGGCATCTCTGGGAGATGTCCTGCCTGCAGTCTTCGCAGAGCTTTACTTGGCTTAGTTGCATGGAAGCTGACTGTGCCTGACACCCTCTCACTGGCTCTAGGTGATTTCATCCTGGTGAAGTCTGTCCCAGCTGTCCTTTGTGAGGCACATTGGTGGGAACTGGTGTCACACCGTTTCCCATCCAAGGCTTCTGCAGAGCTGTAGACACTCCTGAAATTCTCTTACAAAGCATGTGTTCAGAATTAATGACTCCTAACAATTGTAGGTTTCTGTAGGATCTGCTTTAAAGTTTGCCCAGAAGACTGAATTCAGCTTAAAGATCCTCTAAGTCCGTGGAGGCTTCTAATCTATGGAAAAAAGGGGCCTGTGTTTCTTATAGGCATTGGATCATTTCATGCTTTTTCTGTAAGTTAGGGAAACCTGCATGTTCATTTCCATTTTGGAAGGTAGAAGGAACGTGTCATAGGAATTGGAGGATTTGTCCATTCAACAAATATTTATTGATCTTCTGTATGTGCCAGGTACATACTGCAAGTGCTGGGATAGGTCAGTAAAGAGGGCAGACAAAAACTTCAGAAACTTCTTACTGTACTGGGGTAGGATGGGGATAGAGAGCCCAACATGGATCTGTAAATTGCATGGAGATCAGAATGAGGGTGGAGGGCTCAAGTGGCAGGTAAAGGAAGCCTCCCTGAGAAGGGCTTTTGTACAGGGACCTAAAGTGGGGCAGCCTTGGCCACCTCTGGGATGGGTGTTTCAGCTGATGAAGCTGTGGACAGAAGCTCTGGGCAAGCAGCAAGGAGGCCCTGAGGGTGGCCAGAAGCTGGGGCCAGGTGCAGGGTGAGAGGTGATAGGGCCAATGGATCCAGCCAGAAGACTGCCGGCATTTTCTTGGGAACCACTGGACTGTTTTGTGCCGAGGAATGGCCTGTGCTGGCCAAGAGGAGAGGGCTTGAGACAGGCACCAGGTTCCTCTTAGGAGAGGGCACCATGACACAGGCAGGGTGGCATGGCTTGACCCATGGTCTAGCAGTGGCTGTGGCCAGAAGTCAGATCCTACGTCTCTTCTAAAAGTGGACCCAAGGGGATCTGCCGATAACTACTGTGACAGGGAGAGACGGGGTGAGGGTGACCCCAGAGTGGGTCTGAGCAGCTGGAGGTCAGCGCTGGGGCAGATCCACAGCAGGGCTTAGACAGGTGAGGTTGGCGGCTAATTGTCTTGTGCTGCCTGCCCTACTCCACTTGTCAGTTCTGCCCCACTAGGCTCTTGGGGGCCGTGGAGCAGCCCTGAGACTTCAGGCCTCCAAATACAACTGTGGTCATTGTCAGGCAGGGGCTGTGCTATGGAGTGAGGGAGGGAGGGAATACATGAAGGCTGGTTCCAGCCTGGGCATTAGCCTCCTGCAATCTCAAGTCCTGCCACCTCCCCAGATCTAAGCCCAAATGTCTCTCACCTGCCCTGGCCGTGTCCCCACCGCCCAGTCGGCCCTCATTTCCGACGTGTGCTGCTGAGCATCTTCTCCTGCAGCCGTGGGCCACACTGCTGACATCACTTAATAAAACGCGCATTTGCCAGTCCCTCCCCCGAGATACTTCCATGAAATTAGATTGGGCCACTGGCTTGCCAGAAGTCCTCCAGAGGCCTCTCTCTGCCCTCTCAATACCACCCCATCTCTCATCAGGCCCCTGGCTGCTCCAGGTCCCCTGCCCATCTGCCCTGGCTGCCCTTGCTGCTGTCCTGTGTCCCCTGCTCCCCAGGCTGGGACATGCCTTCCTCCATCAGCCTCACAGCCCCTCCCCCCCCAGCTTTGGGCTAAGCTTCAGGGTCACCCCAGGAGCATTCCTTGAAGTACATACACCCCTTTTTCTTTTTCACAGAACCCTGCCCTTTCTCCCATATTGATTTTACCTCAATTTATGGTTCTTCCTTTGTCTTTTCATTGCATTATTGTTTAGCTCCTGGGCTGTGTCTCCCCCCAATACCTCACACCCTGTATATGTAGCGCCCAGCAAAAGGTGCTCCTGACACCACAACTCCCAGGCTGAGCACAACATCTCTGCTGTTTGTGGGGCTCAGAAAGAGAAAACAGGCATATTGTGAAGGCATGTGTTTGTTTGAGCTGATAACGAATACCTAAGTTGCCATTGGCATGCATGGTTAGTGTCATGCAGGTCAGCTGCACATATGCAGCTGCTGTAATCCCAACACCCCATCTCCTTGTGCATTCAGTGCCATTGTCCCTTGCAGAGGAACAGGAAATATGCAGTTTAATGTTTTCAAGGGCTTAAGAGCTCTCATTTTTATAAGAAGTATCATGGTCCCCGCTTATCTGTAGGAGATGTGTGTCAAGACTCCCAGTAGACTCCTGAAAGTGTAAACAGTACTGAACCCTGTATGTGCTGGTATTTTTCCTATAAATACATACCTATCATAAAGTTTTATTTATAATTAGACACAGTAAGAGATTAACAGCCATCACTAATAATAAAATTAGGCTTGGACACAAGCCCTGTGACGCTGTGACCATCAATCTGATCACCAAGACGGCTGCTCGTGGCCCAGTGGCATCTGCAGCGTGGATGGTTCTCATCCCAGGCTGGACAGCAAAAGATTTCATCACACTCCTCAGAATGGCTTACGACTGAAAGCCTGGAAGTGTTTATTTCTGGAATTTTTCATTTAATATCTTGAGATCATGGTTGATGGTGGGTAACTGAAACCCCTGAAACTGAAACCTCAGATAAGGAGGACCTGCTATAATAAAATAAAGACATAACTTCCTTTCTGGTATTTCCCACAGATTTCTCACAAGAAGGGAGGCTCATTGATTATGGGAAAACATAATGGTAAAAAAATCAGTGTAAAATAACTTTTAAATTGATTTTTGTCTTTATGATCTTAAGCTGCTGAATCACTCTATGACTTTTTGTTGCACTCCTCTTTCGGTTGGCTGGGATCCTGCAGAATTGCCAGTGCATCCCTGTAACCAGCAGGCTTGGGCTGGGCAGCGTCAGCACTGAGTCTGAGCTCCCTCACGAGTGCGCTTTCTTTTCCCTCCAGCTGGAACGTGGTGGGCATCCAGGGATCCCTGCTCAGCATTTTCGTGGAGCCCATTTACTTCTCGAGCATCATCCTGGGCAGCCTCTATCATGGGGACCACCTTTCCAGGGCCATGTACCAGCGGATCTCCAACATAGAGGACCTGCCACCTCTCTACACCCTCAACAAGCCTTTGCTAAGTGGCAAGTATCTCTAGAATGTGCCCATTTCAGCTCTATCTTGATTTTGCAATGTTTTAATCCTCGTGAATGAGAAAACCACCACCTGAGCTACTCTGTGGGTATCAGAGAAACATCAGAGTTCTTCTAAAGGGACCCATGGTGATATTTCTGGATCTTTCTGGGCCTTGTCCCTAGGGCCTTTTAAGTGAGTCCCTTGGTAAAATTAATCTCTTTTATCGATCACAAACCTAGCCATTCATAGAATTGATGGTCTCACACCTGTCATCTCAACACTTTGGGAAGCCAAGGCTAGTGGATTGCTTGAGCCCAGAAGTTCAAGACCAGCCTACGAAACATGGTGAAACCCCATCTCTACAAAAAATTAACCAGATATGGTTCCAGCTACTTAGGTGGTTGAGGTGGGAGGATCACCCGAGGCCAAGCAGTCGAGAAGATTGCACCACTGCACTGTAGCCTGGGCACCTTATGGAAAGAAAGGAGGGAAAAGAAGGGACGGAGGGAGGGAGGGGAGAGAGAGAAAGAGAAAGAAAGGGAGAGAGGCAGGGAGAGAGCGAGAGAAAAGGAAGAAAGAAAGGAGGGAAGGAAGCAAAGGAAGGAAGGAGAAAAATAGTGAAATTATGGCTGGGCTTGGTACCTGTATATTTTTCTTTCACTCAGGCAGTGTATTCACTCCTGTCTCGGAAGCAGAAACCCACAGACACCAAAAACTATGTCAGCATTGGCTTTCCCAGACTAGCCTTGAGCCAGGTCTCCTGGACATTTATCCTCTCTTGGAGCCACCCGGGTGTTCACAGTGATGAGCTGCATGGAGCCTGCCCTGGGCTCCCTGGAGAGGCCCTGCTGGCTCTGAAAGGTGGTGACAAGTGAAACCGGGGGTACCAATGGCAGGCAAAGCCTGTCTCCCTGATGTCTGCACCTACCCTCGATTCCTTTCATTGCTGGTTTTTTTTTCTTTTTTTAGAATTTCAGTGGCTAACAGTAAAGTGAACAGGAGCTTTTGAATTCAAAGGTCCTAAGCTCACCTTTATTTAAAAGGACACAGTTAAGGTATTTTTATCTTTTTAAACATATAATTTTGCTTCCTTTTTTAAAGCTCAAAACTAAAACCATAATCCTAACCTGAAACACGTTTATTTTGTTGTGTGTGTATGTGTGTGTGTGCTGCCTTGTTCTTGTGCTTGGCTACTAGCACGCCTTTAATTTGAGAAAAAGCAGTGTAGAATTTTATTTGAAAGCATGTCTGTCAGAGCACATGAAGGAGGCAGCAGGGATGGGGAAAAACAGTTGTCTTGAATTAAACTGTACGGCTCCCTAACTTAACCGTTGTGTTTTAAGAAAAACAAAATAGATGGATAAAACTTGATGGTAAGTAAGGTGAAATTGTAGCATCAATGTCTTTTGAAGTATTTTGTTGTGTATTGGTGTATGAATTTCTCATGATTTAGAAAATAATATTCCCTCTTTGTTCTCTATCTTCTGTACTTCAGGGAAGAGTGCTTTAATTTTAGCTGTCACTCATCTTTCATATTCATAGATACTTAAAACATTGCATGTAGAATATGGGACACATAGGTGATGCTCAAAAATAGTTGTTAATTAGGGCCTTGTTGAATAGTGCTGAGTAAGCAATATCTCATCCATAACTAAAGTCTGCAAAGACAGGATCATTTTGCTAAAGAAATTTTCTAAGATATTGAAAGTAGAGCTCAATTATAAAAGTCCAAGTATGTGTATCATATTTCACTCATGTGAAAAGCATCTATATCTGTTAGAAAAAAAACCTTGAAAAATGTATCTGTAAGATAGACTTCAAAGTTACTGATGCATCTATAAAGTATATAACAAAATAAAAGAAACTGCTGTTTGTCCTTTCCTCCCCAGTATCATCTCTAATCTTAATAGCCTAAAACACATAACCAGACCCCTCCCTGGTCCCCACTGCAGGGACTATGCCGAACTGATTCAGCCACAGCAGAGAGCCTGGGTTGGAGCCGTGAGGCTGCCCCTGATCAGCTCTGCCTCCTTGGAGGCTTCTGTGTCTTGGGTTCTTCATATGCCCAGTGGCAGGGATGGACCAGGCGCCCCTTGCAATTCTTCTGGACAAATGGGCCACTGTCATATGAAAATGAAAGGACACCACTCAAGCTCCAGGAGGCAGAATGTTACTCAAATGCTGGGCCAATAAACAATGTCACCCTAGCACCGAAGTATATTTTCAAAATGCAAACGATTTGAAATATCTCATTTTTGGTAAATGCTTTATTTTGGAAATGGGTTTTTGTTGTTGTTTCCCTGAAGAGAGTTCAAATCAGCAAAGTAAGTAGCTTTGGAGAAGACACCTTTAGACCAGGAGTCCTGTGAGTCAACCGGACAGTGTTGCAGGAAATTAGGTGAGCCGGAGGATTGAGTAGGCGGGGAGGGCTGATGCTTGTGCTTCAGAATTGAAGTTGAAAGCAAGGAATGCTGTGGATGTTGCCAGAGACAGAAGGAACCAAACAAAAATCTAGAGGGGCCAACGTTGATGTTTTAATGGATTTGGGAGGTCACATTCTTTTCAAAGCTAAGCCCTCAAAACTTTATTAAAAGGAAAGTCTTACATTTAACCAGTGACCTGGACAGAGGAGCTACCAGGACATTGGCGCCCTTGCTGTGCGTCTCCTGTGTGTATCATACCTCACATCGTGTTTGTTATACTTGTCACTCACATTTAATTGTAAAGTTCATTCCTGTGTTAAAAACAGAGCCAGGTATGATGGTGCCTAGTGAATTGTAGTGTCTTTAGGGAAGAACAGAAATGGACATAAATGAATACAAAGAATTACTAAAACAAGTTTACCTGAAACCTAGAGCAAATCAAAGTAAAAATGTAGGGATAGGGTGTTTATTTATTTAAAAAAAAATAATACCGTCAGGATTAAAATGAGAAGAATTAGATTTTCATTTCACCCTGAACACTAGTTCTACTTTAAGAAAGCTTCAGGGCCAGGCTTGGTGGCTCACACCTATAATCCCAGCACTTTGGGAGGCCAAGGCGGGCAGATCACCTGAGGTCAGGAGATCAAGACCAGCCCGAACAACATGGAGAAACCCCATCTCTACTAAGAAAAATACAAAATTAGCTGGGCTTGGTGGCAGGTGCCTGTAATCCTAGCTACTCGGGAGGCTGAGGCAGAATTACTTGAACCCAGGAGGTGGAGGTCGCAGTAAGCCAAAATCACGCCACTGACTCCAGCCTGGACAACTGCGCGAGACTCTGTCTCCAAAAAAAAGGCTTCTTGGTGCCAAGCTGTGAAGTGTTTGCCTTTGTGAGCATGCACACTTGGTACCCCTGCTTGGCACCAAGGAAACAGAGGTCTCAGGCTTTCTGAGATCTTCTTTCGATGAGTTTCACATCCAGCGCTTGCAAGTTTCAGGACAATTCCAGCTTCTAATTTACATCCATCGACCCCCTGAGTGTGAGCTCCTCGACTGGCCCAGTTTGTTGTCCAAGGCTCACTATGAGAACCTAAGAAGAAAGAGTGGGCAAATGCCCTGTGGGATGGCTCTGGGGCCCTTGTCAACAGACAGCGTGCTCTGGGGTCCTTGAACCCTATCCTATCCTGCTGGTTTTCATGTTGAACATTGGCATGAACATTAACAAACAGGGCTGCATGGTGGGGGTAGGGTTCTCGTGAACAGCTTGCATTTAGGCATATCTGGGAGGACAGCACAGGGATCTGAGGGGACTGGCCGCAGGCCCAGGTGTGTGGTGGGAGGAAGGCGGGCACCAACGGAGCTGCTGTCCACCCAAGACCATCCAACACCATGGGCAGGAAGAGCAAGGAAAGCTGGTTTAATGAAGCCCTGGCTGGAGTGAGAGAGAAGAAACGTCACTGTGAAAGTGAGAGAGACAGTGTGTGTGTGTGTGTGTGTGTGTGTGTGTGTGTGTGTGTGTATTTTCCAGGTAAGAGCAGGCATCGGGGTTGTGGGAAAGAAGTGTCAGTAATGTCAGTTTCCTCCTTAGGATGAAGGAGTAAACAAGAGAACAGCCACCAAGCTTTGCTCCAAGTACGAAATCATTTTTTCATCTTATAATTTTTCTTTGCATTTTATTTTTGTTTTGTTTCTCCCCTTTAGTTTCACCTTTAAATTGTATTTTCCCTTTCTTCCCACTGGTGATTTTGAAGTTCTAAATCTTATTTCTATTCTAACTAGTGGTTACCTCGATTTTTTAAAACAAATATATTTAAACCACTTTGAAAAAATGTTGGCATCAGGAATTAATTAATATTTTTAAAGATCCAAACTTGGGAAAAACTAAAATCTTGGGCTCATTTTTATTCCACACTCTTCCCATCCTCATCTTCCTAGATTCTGATGACATCATCTTGAGTTTTAGAAACTCATTCGATATTGTGCTTTTTCTTTAAAAGCCTTTCTTAATAAGTCACACAGCCACATGATCAACAGTTGTCTCGATGAAAATGTAAGGGCTCCTGGTTTCTCTTCTAACCAGTTTTCTGTAGCCAGTGTCCCTGCCCTTAATTCCACATTCAGATTTATTTTTCACTTTGCTGGAATGCATCCTTCGTTGGGGTGACAGGGTGATTTCTTGGTTGGTTGGTTTTGTTTGACTTTGGAGAAGAGGCCTGTGTGGGTGGGGCTCTGGATCCTGACTTTACCTGGTCCTCTTCTGTGCACCAGGTAGACTGAGAACTGCAGGTGTCTGGGCTCCGTCCTTTCCCTAAGGACACGTCAAGACCTCCATGTCACCCCTCCATTGTCACCCTTTGTCACAGAGCCAGTTTGAGTTTCTTCCCTTTCTAGAAAGTACCCCTTTCTTGTTTTCTGTATGGTAGCATTAAATTTATTTGTTTTCCTTAAAATTCAGAAATCTCAGCAGATTAAGCCTAGGCGTGTGGCTAGCTTGTTGGGGTTTCTTTCCTACTCACTACGCTGAACCCTCTGATCTGGATTGTTGAATCTTCACTTCTGAGAATTTCCTTCTGTTGTTTCACTTC